TGTCCTGGATAAGAGCAGGCTTTATTTCAGAATGCACCAGTCATGGTCAAGATGGAAGGTTCTTGTCCTCTGAGGAGCTAAGTGAGCAGGGTTTGCCCCTCAGGCACTGATGAGCCACTGAAGAGGCCTGTCGCCCTGGCTGTGCAGGGCTGACCCTGGCTGTACAGGGCTGACCGTGAGAGGACCAGACCCCATGCCAGGGCCACGTGCAGAGCAGCTGAAGCTGTGTGTGACAGACAGGCACTCCACCGAGGAGGCACAGCAATAAGAAAGGACAGTGAGAGGGGACAGGCCAGAGCCTGAGAAAGGCCAGAGCGGCCTGCGTGGCCCACAGAGAGTCCGGCTCGCTACTTTCAGCCCCAACTTCTGGTTAGGTTTAGTCTGAGAGATTTGGATGGAAGCCCCAGGCCCTGAGTGTAAAATGAGCTGAGTCTCCTAACAGGAGCAAGATGGGCAGAACCTGAGCGTAGAGAGAGGGCCTGAAGCCTGCCATGCGGACATCCAGAAAAACAGTGGCCAGAGGGGCTGGAGAGATGGCTCAGAGGCAAACAGCCTGACTGCTCTGCCAGAGGACCTGGGTTTGGTTCCCAGGACCCGGGTGGTGGCTCACAAACCCTGTAACTCCAGTCCCAGGGGGTCCAGTATCCTCTTCTGGCCTTCCCAAGTACCCGACATGCATGTGGTGCACAGACACACATTCAGGCAAACACACATACACATAAAATTAAAATTTTTTTAAAAGATGGCGAGAGAGGCAGAGAAAGATCCAGGAGTGACAAAAGCCAAAAGAATTGCTTTACTCCCCATTCTTTTAGTTTATTCTTTCTTTCTTTTAGTTTAGTTTTATTTTATTTTTTAATGACTTAGTTTTATTTTATGTACTTTGGTGTTTTGCATGCATGTGTGTCTGTGTAAGGGGATCAGAGCCCCTGGAACTGAAACTACAGACAGTTGTGAGCTGCCGTGTGGTTCCTGGGAGTTGAACCCCTCCTCCTCTGGTAGAGCAGCCAGTGTTCTTAACCACTAAGCCAGCTTTCCAACTCCCTTGCTTTATTTTTAAGTGTGCATCTCTTCATGTGCGTGTGCACACTTGAGTTCAGGTACCCTCTGAAGCTAAATGTGTTGTGTCCTCCTGGAGCTGGAGTTGGGTGCAGCTGCCTATGTGGGTGCCGGGAACTGAACTCAAGCTCTGCAAGAGCAGCGTACACCCCAGCTGCTGAGCCCTCTCTACCTCTCATTGTTAGTTTTTCAAAATAGATTTTTAAAATCGGTTTGTTTGAGACATGTTGTAGCCCAGGTTGCCTCGAACTCATTAAGTAAACAAGGATGACCTTGAATTTCTGATCCTCCTGCCTCTACCTCCTCAGTGCTGGGGTTACAGATGAGTACCATGGTGCCAGTTTAGGCAGGGTCAAACCCAGGGCTTCCAAAATGCTAGGCAGACACTCTACCAGCTGTGCTGCACGCCCAGCCCTCAGAATAGATGCTTGAAAACACATGGCACTGGAATCTCTATAGATAAACTCTTTGCTTGGTTATTTTATTTCTTATTTTTGGCAGCACTAGGATTTGATCCCATGGTTTCATGCATGTCAGGCAAATGTTCTTCCACTAAGCTGTATGTATCCCCAGCCCTCTTCTTATTTTTATCTTGAGAAATAAAAAGACAGAGTCTTACTAAGTTCCCCAGGGCAAGCTTTGAAGTTTCAATTTTCCTACCTCCATCTTGTAGCAGGGTTTACAGGCCTGTGCCACCAGACCCTGCTGTGCCTGGTAATCATTTTCCTGTCAAAAAATCTCTTTATACCCAAGCCTGGTAGTGTGGGCCGGTAAACCCGGCTGCTGGGGAGGCTACTACAGGGAGCTAGGAAGTTCAAGGTCTGCCTAGGCGACAGAGTGAGTTCAAGGATGGAAAATAAGAAGTGGGTTGAGGGTATGGCTCAGGGGTACAATGCTATCTGCAAGGCCCTGTGTTTAATCTCCATACCACAAACAATATAACGTACATATACATACTATAAATATATTGTACATCTGTGTATACTATATATGTGTATATATATTTAAAACAATCAAAGGAGGATTGAATGAAAATGGTCAACTCTGACCTTACAATGTAATTGCTTTCAACATTTGCCTTAAAAATGGCATTAGCCTGGGCATGGTGGATGTCTTTAATCCCAGCACCCAGGAAGCAAAGGTAGACAGAGCTGTGTGAGTTCAAGGGCAGCCTGGCCTATATAGTGAGTTCCAGGACAGCCAGAGCTACAAAGTGAGACCCTGTCTCAAAAAAACAAAACAAAACAAAACCCAGGAGTCATCAGACCAAGGACATGGGTGCCTCTGTAAACACGGAAGCCTGGCATGGGCTCTTGTCATGTCAGCTGTACCTGTGGCAGCCACGGGGGTAAGGGCTCTACCCCTACCCCTGTGAAATTTGTCAGGGACCTGGGTTCCTCTATGACCTCTGCCAGAGGCAGACTGCAGGCACAAAACAGCAGCAAAAGCAGCTGGAACTAGACTTACGGAAGAAGTGCCTGGTACCTAGAGAGAAAGACAGTCAGAAGCACTGAGCTGTCCCACCTGGCCCCAGCTGAGATGGGGCCTCCTAGGAGGAAGGGGCAGGGCCGTGCCCCAGGCTAACGGGACTGGCAGCATGTGAATGATGCCCGAGACCCCTGTTCTTGGCAAGAACTTGGGCTCTCTTGCCAAGCTTGCCCCTGGGTCCCTGTGTGGTCCATAGGTATCCTAGGGAATCATGCAACATATTAGAGCCGAGCCTTGGAAGAAGGAGCCCAGATGCAGGACTGCCAGGGATGGAGCTAGCCTGTTGCCTCCAAGCCCCTTCCAGCGTCTAACCACAGTGTATCTGACCCCCAAGTCACCACTGACCCCTTGCCCTTTACCCCTTCTGCAGAGACAGGGACAAGTCTCAGAAACCCATCTCAGCACTCTAGACAGGAGTCTTCACAGAGGTCTGCATAGGAAGATATTATTATCTCATTTTACAGATAAGGGAAGGGAAGAAATTGACGTCCAGAAAGGTTACGCAACGTGGCTATGGTCACACAGCAAGCCAGAAATGCAAAGCCAACTGGTGCCTCTATGTAAATAGTATCCACCTTCAGCTCTGTCCTCCTTCTTTTTTCTTCTTTTTTTGAGATAGTCACTATGTTACTTTGGCTGTCCTGGAACTCACTGTGTAGACCAGGCTGGCCTCAAACCCACAGAGATCCACCTGTCTCTGCTTTCCAAGTGCTGGGAACAAAGGCTTTAGTTGAAGATGGACAGTTTGTGAGTTTGCATTCGATTTGCATACAGGGTGATGCAATGCATAAATATCTTCCCTACAGTGCGTCTCTCCCCAGGCTTTTCCTCCTTGAGCTGCCTGGCAGGCTAGGGAGTACCATCTGGTCCCTCCCTCTGCCAAGGATGTCTTTGCTGGAGCTCGGTGCTCTCTCTCACTGGCCACACCACAGTGCAGCACAAAGGGACACTCCCCAGAGGGGCAGAGGGCCCAGACAGCCCCACTCTGCCTCCAGGTCACTAGCAGGGTGCCTGCAGCAGGAGGGTAAACGGATGGCACACGCAGGTCCCCCAGACCCAGGCAGCATCCTCGGTCTTCTGTCTTAAGCCCCATATTTAGCTACCTTCTCGCCTCCCACGCCTGCTTGCCACCGTCTGGTATAAGGGAGACTGAAGTAGGAGCCGGGTGTGAGGAGAGGCATTGGCACTCTGGTCAGGCTTGTGTATTCTTGTCCCCTCCTGAGCAGAGACCACAGGCTCAGATTTGATGTGAACACAAACGTACCTGTTCACAACCTTTACACAGGGGTGTGAAGAGCGCGCTCAGCAGTTAAGTGTGCTAACTGGCTGGCCTTCCAGAGGACCCGTGTCCAGTTCATAGCACCTGCAGCTGGTGGCTCACACTCACTTTAACTCCAGCTCCAGGGGTTCTGACACCATCTCTAGCTCCATGGCCATCCATACGCACTCACACTCTTGTGTGCAGACACATATGTACACTTAAATAATAAACCAAAATATAAACATAAACTGTATACAGATCACACATTTAAATGATAATATTTTGAGCATACTGCATTAATTGTAAATTGCACCAGTTTGTGGGTTTTTTAAACTTAAAAACATTGTACACAGATTACACATTTAATGATAATATTAATTATAAAAATTAATTTCACCTGCTTTAGGTTTTTGTTGTTTTGCTTCTCCTGTGGGCTTTTTGTTTGTTTGGGGTTTTGTTTTGTTTTTAGCTGGGGTGCCAGGCAAGCTCTGCTACTAAGCTACCCTACCACCAGCTCAACTTAAGCCTTTCTTTCCATATTTAAAAAATTCTGGCCAGTGGTAGAGGTGGTGGCGCATCTGTAATCCCAGCACTTGGGAGGCAGAGGCAAGAGTATCTCTGTGAGTTTAAGGCCAGCCTGGTCTACAGAGGGGGCCCCAGGACAGCCAGGGCTGCACAGAGAAACCCTGACTCAGAAAACGAAACAGCTAGTTGTTTTATGTGTATGTTGCCTGCGGTTGTTCATGCACTACGTTTTTCCCCCAGGGGGATATCTCACTACATCACATCCATGAAGTGCCCCTGGAGGCCAAGAACGGGATCAGATCCCTAAGTTCTTGAGTTACAGAGGGTGTGAGCCACCACGTAGGGACTGGAAATCAAACCCAGGTCCCCTGGAAGAGCAGCCAGGACTTCAACTGCCGAGCCATCTCTCCGGCCAGTGCTGTAGCCTCTGAGCCATCATCCAGCACTCTGTTTACTCTTCCCATGTGGATGCTAGAAAGTTTAAAAACAGGAACTGGAGATATGGTTGAGTTGGTAGAGTGCTCGCCTGACCTGATTCTCATCTGGGTCCAGAAACTGACCCCAAGCACATCTGTGCCACTTAACTCCCCCCAAGTAACACTGTCCCCCTTCCTTTTGCTCAAGCCACGACCCCCATCGCACATCCTGCCCGAGTCAACGGTTTTCCAGTTTAAGAAGGTTCCTGTAACAAGTTGTCAAAGGGCTCCCTGCCCTTACCTCGCCTGCAGCCAACATGCAGGACACCCCAGCAACATCATCGGTCCCCGGGTCTCGCAGCCAATCGGCATTAAACATCCAGCGCCAGGCCTCTGCTATAGGTGGTACCAGCTCAATGCCTCCCTCCTTGAAGACTAGCCCAAGCCCTGCCCCAGCCCACCTGAAGCCCAAGATCCCAAATGTCCGGCGCATGCGCCGGATCATCTCCGAGGACGCAGAGTGGTCACTGGCCATCGTACCACTCCTTACAGAACTCTGTATCCAACATATCGTCAAGAACTTTCAGAGTGAGTTCATCTGCCCTGGGCTGGAGAAGGGAGACCACCACACCCGAGCCTGGAAGCACTCTCAAATCCACTCTCATCCAGCACCAGAGGTGTCTCCCGCTGTCCCCATCCCCCAGCACACACACACACACAGACACACACACACAAACACACACACAGACACACACACAGACACACACAGACAGACACACACAGACAGACACACACACAGACACACACACAGACACGCACACACACAGACACACACACACAGACACAGAAACACACACACACAGACACACACACAGATATACAAACAGACACACAAACACACAGACACACACAAACAGACACACACAGGCACGCACACACACACACAAACAGACACACACACACAGGCACGCACACACACAGAAACACACACACAAACAGACACACACACAAACACACACACAGACACGCACACACAGAAACACACACACAGATACACAAACAGACACACACACAGACACACAAACAGACACACACACAGATACACACAGACACACACACACAAACACACACAGACACACGCACACACACACACAGAAACACACACACAGACACACAAACAGACACACACACAGATATACAAACACACACACACAGAAACACACACACAGACACACAAACAGACACACACACAGATATACAAACACACACACACACAAACACACACACAGATATACAAACACACACACACAAACACACAGACACACAGAAACACACACACAGATACACACACAAACACACACACACACACACACAGACACACACACACAAACACATAGACACACACACAGAGACACGCACACACACAGACACACAGAAACACACACACACAGACACACACACAGACAGAGACACACACACACAGACACACAGAAACACACACACACAGACACACACACAGACAGAAACACACACAGAGAGACACGCGCACACACACACACACACATACACACACTGTGCCCTCCATGCTTTTGCCCTTCTCTGCTCACATCTGCTCTCTCCAGTAAGTTCAGTCTTGGCCACATCTTCCTTTCCCTCCTCCAGGAAGCTCTCCAGGTCTAATCTCCCATCTAATAGTCTTCTGGGACACAGATGGGTTCCTGGTATCCTCTGTACTCTAGCCTTTCTAGAGAAAAGTAGCGGATCTTTCCTACTCTATGGGACAAGGGCTTCCTGAGGCCTGGCCACCTAACATAGTATGTTCCTCTGTTGTTGTTGGCCATGTGCCACAGCAAGCTAAGTATGAACTCCAAGAGGCCAGGGCCATGACTGCTTCCCTCCCTCCTTCCCTCCCAACCTCCCTTTCTCCCTCTCTCTGTCTCTGGTCTTGTTTTGTTTTTTGTTTTTGTTTTTGAGACAGTTTCTTTGTGTAGCTCTGGCTATCCTGGAACTCATTCTGTAGACCAGACTGGTCTCGAACTCACAGAGATCTGCTTGCCTCTGCCTCCCCAGTGCTGAGATTAAAGCCGTGTCCCGATGTTGCCACCATCCCCTGGCCATTTTTTAAATGTACTGGTGTGTGTGAGAGAGAAGGAAAGAGAGACAGAGATGGACACGCACAGAACACAGTACACATGTGCAGATCGGAACACAGCCCTGCGAAGTCAGGCCTCTCCTTTCACATCTGCATGAGACCTGGGGTAGAATTCAGGCATCCAGTTCTGCTCAGCAAGCGTTGATAACTCACTGACCCATCTTTCTGGCCCCTTCACTTTTTTTCCAGTAACGACTGGTACATAGTAGGTGTTAAAGTGCATTAGTTGTTCTGAAATGAATGAATGATTGAAGTCAGACTGGGCATCTCAGAAGTCAGCTGTCGCTCCCAACAGATTAGATAATACACTGTGGTCTGGCCCGGAGATTTTGTCCATTCCTCCCCAGGTGGGTCAGCTTGAGACCAGATACTCCCTAGTGCAATGGCCAGCAGGCAAGAGAACCCTAAAGAGTGTTTGTTTAAGAGACTGTTTCTCCTCTCGGAACAAAGCTCCCGAGACCACAGAGGGCCTTCCCTTTCCTCAGTGTGCCCGGGCAGCCATGTTGTGATATGCCCAGCCCTGTGGCTGAACTCTGTTTTTCTTCCTCTGTATCCAAAGACAACCCTATCCTGAAGCAGCTGCTCCCAGAGCACCAACAGAAAGTCCTGAACCACCTTCCCCCTGACCTGCCACTGACGGTGACCGCCAACCTGATCGATGATGAGAGCTATTGGCACCGATGCTGCATCAAGCGCTGGCCCGTGTGCCACGTGGCCAAGCATGGTGGCAGCTGGAAGCGCATGTTCTTTGAGAGACACCTGGAGAACCTGCTGAAGCTCTTCATCCCAGGCACCACGGACCCCAGTGTGATCTTGGACCTGCTGCCCCTCTGCAGGAACTATGTTCGAAGAATCCAAGTGGATCAATTCCTCCCACCTGTGCGGCTGCCGACCCCGCCCCAGGCTGAGGATCAGTCGGACTCTGGCAGCGAGGGGGAGGGGAATGAACCTGAGAAGGACCACTACCAGTTGGAAGCTCTGGTGGCCGGCCTCAAGCACCTGGAGGAGCTGGACCTGGTGTACGGTGTCAAAGACTGTGGCATGAACTTCGAGTGGAACCTCTTCCTCTTCACCTTCCGAGACTGCCACTCGCTGGCAGCCACCATCAAAGCCTGCCACACCCTCAAGGTACCACCCCTCACCTGCCCCCCTTCTCAATGCCTCTAGGACCTGCTTCCCTCGTCTCTTCCTCTCCTTCCACCGCCTCCTCCCATTTCCTTTCATGCGTCAGTAGAGAAGGGGATTGTTTTGGGGAAACTTTTGTTTAGTTTTGTTTTGTTTGAGACAGGGTTTCTCTGTGTAGCCCTGGCTGTCCTGGAACTCTCTCTGTAGAGCAGTCTGGCCTCAAACTCACAGAGATCGGCCTGCCTCTGCCTCCAGGGTGCTGGGCTCAAAGGCGTGCACCACTACTGCCCAGCTAAAACATTTGTTTGAGACAGGGAGGGTCTCACGTAGCTTAGGCTGGCCTAGAACTCACTGGCAGCTGGAAATGACCTTGGATTTCTGACCCTCCCACCTGTGCTGTACATACATGCGCGACAACACACACAAACATGCATGCCTAAGTGCTGGGATGGCAGGATACACCACACCAAATCTATGTGATGCTGAGGACTGAACAAAATGAAAACTGCCCAGGTTGAGGGTGCAGCTCACAGGCAAGGAGTGTTCTCAGCATGTGTGCGGGGCTGGGGCTCGCCCAGCCACTGGAAAGCGCATTACTACGGAAGGATAGCTAGTTTTAAACTCACTTGTCTTGTTGCTATGATCAAAACCTGGCAGATGTGACTTAAAGATGGAAGTGGGTATTTGGCTACAGTTCCAGAGCGTGGTTCCTTGTGGCAGGGAAGCCATGGTGGTAGGGACAGGGCCTTGAGGGGTTGGTCAAGCAGAGATCGTGGAGCAGTGATATTCAGCTTCCTCCTTTTTATTCGGCCCAGGCCCCCATCCATGGTTAAAATTCAACTAGATAAGCTGGGAGGTGGTGGCACACGTCTTTGATCTCAGTACTACAGAGGCAGAGGCAGGAGGATCTGAGTTTGAGGCCAGCCTGGTCTACAGAGTGAGTTCCAGGACAGCCAGGGTTACACAGAGAGACCCTGTCTCAAGGGAGAACTGGGGGGGGGGGGGAGGAGTTTGACCAGGTAATTTAAGTAGCTATGTAACTAGAAAACCCCCAAAGACATGCCCAGAGGCTCATCTCTAGAACATTCCAGATCTTGTCATTAGCAATGTTAACCATCGCAGTGGTCATACTGAAAATTTCCGACAAACAGTTATGTCCCATGTAATATTTGGGCTATACATCCATACTGTGGTTTTTATCTAAAATTCAAATGTAACTGGCCATCCCATGTTTCTGTTTGTGGAATCTGACAGCCGTATCCTAGCTGCGATTTTACACTGACATCGCTGCTCATTAGTGCCTTTCATACCACCAGACTGCTCGCTCCGCTCCACAGGGCACAAATGGAGTAATTGTGCTGGCTCTGCATCTTCAGCACCTGGGACAGGGCCTGATACTGTTAGTCTGTTGGCTGACTGCAAAAGCTGGTGAGCAGAGGACGCCGGGCATTTTTTTCTTCTGTCTCTTCACAGAGCCTGGTAGTTTGATGTTGTTTCCCTACCATGAGGAACCCTAACCCTCGAAACTGAGAGCCGAATAACCACTTCCTTCCTTAATCCGCCCGTGTCAGGTTTTTTTGGGGGTTTTTTTTTTCTTCCTTTTTCTTTTTCTTTTCTTTTTTTTTTTTTTTTTGGTTTTTCGAGACATGTTTCTCTGTGTAGCTTTGGAGCCTGTCCTGGAACTGGCTATGTGGGCCAGGCTGGCCTCAAATTCACAGAGATCGGCCTGCCTCTGCCTCCAGAGTGCTGGGATTAAAGACGTGCGCTACCAATGCCCGGCATTCCTGTTAGGTATTTAATCAGGACAATAAGACAAGCTGCTGAGCACATGTGACAGGCTCTCTCTGGGGCTGGTAATCAGAGCTTAGCAGGCCTGAGTCTGGGGATTCAGTTCCCAGCCCTCTAGCTCCGTTGCTAGAGTGTTTGCCTCGCATGCATGAAGCCGGGCAGTGCATGAACTGAGTGTGGTCTGTAATACCAGCACTCTGGAGTTGGAGACAGGATGGTTGAAAGGTCAAGGCCATCCCTGGCTACATGGTGAGGTGAAGGGCCATCCTTTACTATAGGAAACCGTGTCCCAAAAAATTAAAGAGGGGTGCTCAGTGGTTAAGAGCACATACTGCTCTAGCAGAAGGCTTAGTTCAGGTCCCAGCACCCACATCAGCTCATAACTGCCTGTAACTCCAGCTCCAGGGGATCCTACTCTCTTCGAGCCTCCCACATATCCACCCAAAGACACAACATGAACAGCATGCTTTAAAATCTCTCTCTCTCTCTCTCTCGCTCTCTCTTTTTTTTAATAAAACAGAAAACATGAAGGAGGAAGGGAGAGGCATCGTTGGCTTAAATTCTGGTGGCTGAGGGGACTCACAGGCCACACAGTGCCTGCACTAGTATCTCCCCTCCACTAATGGTAGAAAAGCAGGAAGAAAAAGATGGGTAGAAGACAGCCAGCAAACTACTCCTGCAAGAACTTGGGTCTCAAGAGATCATCACCAGTCTTTTCCAAGGGCAGTGTCCCTAGTGACCTAGCACATTCCAGCAGGCGCCTCCTCTTAAAGGCCCCACTGCCTCTCAGCATCACTTAGGGGACCAAGCTTTTGCACAAAGATCTTTGTGGGGGTGGGAGAGGGGGCTGCCTACCTCATCCAAAGTAAAGTGCTACGTAAGGGTACTAGACTGTACATATGGAAAAAGCCACTGTGGTTATGAAAGAGAATGGCCTGGACAGAGCCACAGTACACGTGGCAGGCCACCCAAGAGACTATTGCAAGTGCAGATAAATGGAAGGTTGGGGCTGGGAATGTAGCTCAGTCGGCAGGGTATTTGTCCAGCATGCACCTCACAAGCCAGGTGTGGTGGCACACATCTGTGATCCCAGCACATGGGAGGCAGAAGCAGGAGGGTTATCCTCAGCTACACATCAAGTTCAAGGCCAGCCTGGGCTATGTAAGACTGTCCTGGTATCCTTTCTGTTGCTGTGATAAAAAACACTCTGAGTAAAACACTCTTAGGGGAGAGATGGGATTTGTGTCACACTTGCAAGTCAAAGCCCATCGCTGAGGGAAGTCAGGGCAGGAACCTGAAGGGCGGCCTGCTTGCTCTTCCCCACAGTATTGCCTCCAAGCAAGGAACTCACTGCACAGCCAAAGAGGTCCAGCAGCAGGACGTGATGGAGGAATGCTGCTTGCGAGCTGGCTCACAGACCAGCTTTCACTCCGCTAGATTTCTTTCTTTTTCTAGGTTTATTTTTATTACTATAAATTATATGTATGAGAGGGTACATTCACATGAGTTCAGATGTCCACTGAAACCAAGAGAGGGCATCCGATTCCCTGGATGTTGGAGTTGCTAGCCACCTGATGTGGGTACTAGAAACTGAACTCTGCAAGAGCCGCACTGGCTTGGAGCCGCTGAGATAACTCTCCAGCTCGTCAGCTCACTTTCTCATACAGTTTCATACAGTTCGCCTGTGTAGGGATGGTGCTGCCCACGGTGGACTGGGCCCCTCCTACATCAATTAGCTCTCAAGACAGTCCCACACAGACATTCTCCCAGCCAATCTGATCTAGGCTATCGCCTCTCTTGTCAAATGACTCTAAGCTGTGTCCCTGTCCCCTTCTCCCCGTCCCTCAAAACCATAAGGGTAGTTAGAACCATAGCCATATCTGCAAAGATGGATGAAACACAGGCTCTGGAGAGAGATACAGTCAGACCACCTGCACTGTGATGTAAGGAGGATGGAGACAGGAAGGAAGAGGCAGAGGTGTTGAGGCTCCTTCTCATGAGACCAGATGCTGTGGGAATCGTTGGCAGACTAGAAAGAGAATAGGAAGACCATCCTGAGAGGGAAAGCATCCTGAGAGTTCCAGCTTGAGGTGGCCTAGAGCAGAGGTCATCATGATAGCCGGGTAGAGGATCTGATGCTGCAGGGGAGGGGGGGTGGAATCTAAGTTGAGCTTTGAAAACCGTGTCTTAAGTGTGACCTTGCATTTGGATGGAGTCTTAGAAGGAAGAGCCAAAAGGGAGGCAAAGAGAAGCCTGGCACATGATGCTGGGGGAAAGAGAGGGAGGAGGGGGAAAGGACATAACTGTGTCACAGATCCCAGATAGGGCCATGTTTCCAATAGCAGGAGTGAGTCACAGGGTAGGATGGAGTCCAGGACTGGCCTAGTGGCTCAGGCTGTCTCTGGGCTGCTTCAGTGGGCCCTGGGAGCAGAAGCTAGGCAGCTGTGGATATGGAGAGAGTGGGAAGTGAGGAGGAAGGTGGCTGTGATCAGCTTCGTCAAGAGCTTAACTGTGAAGTAGGGAGCAGAGTAGATGAGGGACCTGGGTCTCTGTAGAAGAAATGGCAAGTATTTCATGCCGGGTCTAACAGCAAGAAAATCGTCAGTTGTATGTAGGAGAGGGGCTCATGGGTCAGGGACAGCTCTTGCTGGGGCTGAGACCTGAAGTGGGGCCCTTGGGCATGTGGCGAGTAGCCGTGGATGTCTGCATTGGTATCAAGAAAACTGGAGGGCCCGATTAGTGGCCAGGAAAACAGAAAAGAGGCCATCATCGGGAAGGGGTCTCATAGAAACGCTGGCATGTGGACGAGGCAGAAGGGGTTGAAATTTGTCACAGACTATAGGAGGATCTGGTGTCCAGAGAGATACGGTTGGATCGGCACACTGTACTGGGAGGTTCTGTGATACCAGCCAGTGACATACAAGGGCTTTTCCACTGTCCACTGTCGAAAGAATGCAGAAAACATAGACGGGCCTGGGCATGGGGATGCCCTTTCCCGCTGCCGCCTGCCGAAGCACCAATTCCGCATCATTGGGTTGAGCTTCCTCCCATTTAAAAGCCAGGCAGGTAGGTAGCCAATACTAAGTTTTGAGCCTCCCGCCACCTTGTGTCTTCCTTCCCTACCAGCACAGGGCAGGCTACCCTGCACTGGCAGATGCAATAAAACTATCTGCCCACAGATCTTCAGGCTGACCCGCAGTAAGGTGGATGATGACAAGGCCCGCATTCTAATCCGAAGCCTGCTGGATCACCCAGCCCTTGAGGAGCTGGACCTGTCCCACAACCTCATTGGAGACCGTGGCGCTCGAGGAGCAGCCAAACTGCTGAGCCACAGCCGCCTGAGGGTGCTCAACCTGGCCAACAACCAAGTGCGGGCTTCCGGTGCACAGTCGCTGGCTCATGCCCTGGCACACAACACCAACCTGGTCTCCCTCAATCTCCGCCTCAACTGCATCGAGGACGAGGGTGGCCAAGCAATTGCCCATGCCCTGGAAACCAACAAGTGCCTCACCACGCTGCACCTCGGTGGCAATGAGCTGTCTGAGCCCACGGCCACACTCCTATCCCAGGTGCTCCCAGTCAACACCACACTCATCAGCCTCAACCTCTCCTGCAACCATATCGGGCTGGTGAGCCACGGCTTCTGGGGCAGGCGGGCATGGGGTGGGGCCCAGCTACTCTCGCTGGAAAGCATTGGACTGCATGGTGTACTGCACAGAGACTGTGTTCTCCTCTGTCGTGTGCACTCCACTGTCCATTCTTTTCCCTTTCGTTTCCCTGTGTCTGCGGTGCACATGCGTGTATATATATATATGTTTTTGCATATATGCATGTGTGTCGAGACTTAGAGTTGATGTCAGGAATCATCCTCAATTGTTCTTCTATCTTATTCACTGAGGCATGTCTCAGGACATACAGCCTTCCAGGTACCCCCCATGAGTCCCTGTCACTCTGACTGCCAACCCTGGGACTACACCCGTAGGAACTACATCAGCCTGTGGATCCATGAGAGGATCTGAAGTGATGGGTCTTGATTGCCAGCTTGCTTTGAAGATTCTCTCTGGAATGACAAGTGGACTGCTATGCCCACTCGGCATTCCCATGGATTCTGGAGATCCTAATTCCAGCCCCCATGCTTGCACACGAGTGCTCTCCCCCACTGAACCAACTCCGGGGTCCACATCCCAAACCAGACAGGTTATATGTGGCTTTGCAAAAGGCTTTCCATCTGTATGGCACTGTGTGTACCCGTGACTCTGGGGCATAATGGGAAATAACCTCTCTGCCTCATCCCTACACAGGATGGTGGGAAGCAGCTCCTGGAAGGCATGTCAGACAACAAGACCATTCTGGAGTTTGACTTGCGTCTGTCAGATGTATCGCAGGAGAGCGAGTACCTCATTGGCCAGGTTCTGCATGCCAACCGAGAGGCCGCCCGCCAGCGGACCCTGAATCCTGGCCACTTCATGTTATCCATCACTAACAATGGTCCTGAGAATTCTGTAGGCTAAGATGAGGGACAGGCCTAGAACAGTGATCTGATGGGTCACTGTGACACCCATACCTTCATTTCACATCCTTGCTGTTCTGAGGAAGAGAGAAGAAGGGAATCATGAATCTCCTTGGAATGAGTTTGTATGCAGGAAAATGCTGAGGTAGGGAAAGGGGCCTAAGGATGAAGAGATGGTAAGCTAACTCCTACACCTGGAAAATGACCATACTAGATCAGTATAAATGATCGGCTTCCAGGAGCAGGGAAGGACTCTAAAGAAACCATCCCTGCCCAAACTCTTCATGAACACCATCTACCTCTTGACTCACCCCACCCATTTCCCTTTCTAGTAAGTATGCCCTGGAGCTCTGACCTCAATCTACACACACACACACACACACACACACACACACACACAGAGAGAGAGAGAGAGAGAGAGAGAGAGAGAGAGAGAGAGAGCAAAGTTATGCCTGCCCGTCACGATCCTGGTGTGCTCACTTCTACAGATCACTAATTCTCAAGCTGGGAAGGGGTCACAAGCGACAGAGGGGCTCAGACACACAGACCTCCTAACAAGGGTAGGAAATAAGTGTCGCTCTGAGGAGAGGAATCAGTGAGTCGTCCACACTTTTATTATCCACCAGTGTGATTTGTACAATCTTTGCGCTTGGAATTCCACGACAAAAAGGCCACAGTGTGATGCACCCAATTGGACAGAGATCTGTCTCCTCCTGAGCCAGGCCCAGCCCACCCCACAAGCCCTTACCCTCAGGACGTACAGCCTTCCAGGTACCCTCCATGAGTCCCTGTCACTCTGACTGCCAACCCTGGGGCTACACCCGTAGGAACTACATCAGCCTGTGGATCCATGAGAGGATCTGACTGACCAGTTCAGGCCGAGCCCCTTTCTCCCAACTCTCCTTGGGCTGAGTGGCCCAGAGCCCACCTATCCTAAAGAAGGGTGACTGAACTGCAGTTGCCATCCAGAAGGGCCTGCACTCCAGGGACTCTTTGCAACAAGCAGACACTGGACAGAGCACCAGAGGGGCCTGGGGGTGACTATGTGTGCCTGTCCCGGCAACCGAGAGTCATCTGTGCCTGACGCCCTCTGACAGTTCCAGAGTGCAAACACGTAGGTGTTGAGGGTGTGTGTGTCTGTGTGTGTGTGTAGCCACAGCTGCTAGCAGAGGTTCTAATTAGAGAAACAAGAACATTCAGTGTAAAGTTTAATTTTAGAGATTAATTAATTTTCTGGTTTTCATTTTCCCTGGCAATCAATAAAGCTACCGAGAAAAGAGACCAAAGAATTGCTTTCTCTCTAAGTCTGTGCATGTGTGGGAGGCGAGGCTGTCTGAATGAAAAGATCTAGGCAGAAATGGTCAGGCAAAAATAATAACAGGGCTTCCCCTCCTCCTCCTCTCCCAAGGTCAAGCTCTGTCTCTGAACCCAGCACGATGGAGAATGAGCCAAGTCCTTCCTTCCTTGGAGCTATGAGGTGGCCAGGCCGCCCCTAAATGAGAACAAGACATCCAGGTGCCAGCTGGCCAAGAACTGGGGCCCAAGGCCACAGCTCCCACCGCCTGTGCTTCAACAGATGCCTGCTCAAGGGAAAGCAGGTGCTCCAACAGCCAAGCCACCCCCCACACACACACACAAACTCAAAACTCAGGCTCCTAGAGGGCTCAATGCTGGCAGGCCAGTGGACATGGCTGCCCAGGAACCCTGGTGAGCAGCTATGCGGATCCCACATCCTTCCCTCACCCAACCATCTCTATATGCTCAGAAAGCTCAACCCCCATTTGATCCTGGCATCCCCACAGTTTGGGCTCCCCGCGGGAGCCAGACGAGATGTTGCATAGGTAGGGCCCACTCCCATTGCTTGGTGTAGGCTCGGTACAGCCAGGAGGAAGAGGGGAGGCCAAGAAGATGGAGTTCTGGTGACGAAGGCAAAGCAAGAAGCCCAGGGAGCAATACTGGGTGGATGTGAGCCCAATGCCTGGGTGCTAAGTCTGCTGGGGAAACTTCAGCCAGGACAGCTGGGAGAGCGAGGGCCAAGCACAGACATGCACAATAAAGCACAGTGGGTGGAGGGGTACGGGAGTATGGGGCGTGGGATAGCGAAGTCTGTGTGAACGCTTTGAAAGGACAGACAGGACAGGGGCTGGTGCCCTGGGGCGTGGGATAGCGAAGTCTGTGTGAACGCTTTGAAAGGACAGACAGGACAGGGGCTGGTGCCCTGGGGCGGTGGCATGATGCCCCTCTGAAGACTTACAACTTCAGCTCACGGGATAAGGGAAGTGGAGGGTCTGGCAGCAAATGGTCTCCTGCCGCTGGAATCGAGTACCTCTCCAGCTAGGCTGTGATGGACTGAGCTCCACACCCAGGCGTGTGTTAAGAGACATACTTCCTTCAGCGCCTTGGAGAGGAAAAGCTATGCTACCACCTCTTCAAAGCTGGTTTCACTCCGCCCACCATTACCAACCCCCCCCCCCTCTTTCTCTCCACCTGCCTCCTGAGTTCTCTTGACACCAAGGTGTGTCTCAAGCTCCTGTCCACTTGGTCGGTCACCCTGGCCAACTTTAATGAGGGCCTCCAGCACCTTACTTAGCCTCCTAATGGAAGCGCCTATCGAGACGGAACCCAGGGGAGGGAGCTTCTGATTGATGGGAAGCTGGGCCTTTTCCAGAAAGGGCTGCCGGTGCATGCCCTCCCCCCCCCCCAGCTTCCCTTCTCTCCCTCTGCACCCTAACAACAGCTAGTAAGCCCCGCCCCCGCCGTGAGTGACGTCATTGGTGTGTTGAAAAGTCCCTCCAGGACCAGACCTCTGGGGCCCAGTGAAATAAACAAGTGGTGGCAGTGGCAGAAAGGAACCACCAAGCTTTCTCAGCCACCGCCAAGAGGCCGCAGCTTTTTCAAGGTGTGGAAAAGAATACTGGGCTGCCAGCTGGCCCCATCCTCAGACCCGGTGAACTCAGTAGCTGGTTGGAAGCCAGCCCTGCAGCTCTTCTTGCCCAAACCACCGCGCTCCCACACACAGGGGACCGGGTGGGGCGAGGCAAAAGAGAAAAGAAAAATAGCCCCAAGTGTCCTTCCTGCGGCTTGCCACCGTGGCTTCCTTGGCGGGGAGGCCAAAAACGGGTCTCACATCATAGTTGCCTAGTAACAGTCAAAACCTAAAGAAAGCCTGGGCGGGAAACCTCGAGTGTGCGTGGAAAAGGAAGTGTCCCCGTAGGAACTCGATGGGGACTGGAAGAGAGCCACCTCTGCCCCGGTGGGTGGGATTCTCAGACAGCTGCCAACCTCCCCATCCTCCGTCTGTGTACAGGGAAGCAGTCTCAAGCCCAGTGGGGTCTTGTCTGGGCGTGCCTCTCACCTTCCGCCTTCACACATACCCTGCCTGGCCTCAATCGCCATCGAGGGGCAGGAGGGACAACAGGGCAGGCCCCCTCCAGGAGCGGAAGGTCACAGTGAGGTCTCCACGCAGGAGCCATGGCGGTGCAGTGGCCGGTGACTGTGGCCCAGACACCCCTCCTGACGATGGACGATGAGGACAGGGAAGTAGAGGGCATCGTGGTAGGGCGGCGGTGGCCCGGCTTCCTCCTCGTCGTCCTCGTCCTCGTCGTCCCGCATGCTGGCCTGGCTCGACAGACGCGTCTGCTCCGTGGGGCAGCTCGCCTCGTTGACGCTCCCGCTCCGGCTGCGCCACAGGCAGCTGCGCCGGGAGCCATAGAGGCGACCGAGCGAGAAGCGACTGCCCCCGCACCCAGCACTGGCTCCGGGCCCCTGGCCGGCCCGCGGGCTGGCGCAGATACTCAGCGCGCTGCGGGAGAAGATGGACGAGCTGCTGACAGCTCGCTGACAGTGCTCGCAGCTTCGCCGGTACGGGGCCACGCCCGCCGCGCCCGGGCCACCCACCCCGCCGTAGCGACACGTGGGCGCGTAGCCACCGCCCCCTGCCCCGCCGCAGCGCGCGCCCAGCCCAGCTAGGTCCATGAGCACCGCTTCCGAGTAGCTGGGTACCAGCTGCTGATTGGAACGGATGTGCCACTCGAGCTCGGTGCTGTCCACCGTGTTGACCCGCGGCAGGCGATGAGTGAGCGGGGGCAGCAGCTCGTCGCTGGGACTCAGGCCACCGCCTGCGCTGCTGGCTGAGCCTGGCCCCTCCAGGCCGAAGAGCTTCTCCACGTGGTAGTGCGCGTACGCTGTGCGGTACTCGGCCAGCACGCGCAGCGGCCACGACAGCGTGAGCAGCGCTGCGGCCCAGAAGGCCGACGAACAGGCGTACCAGGGTGGCCGGGCCGGGTCGGGGAAGGCCACCATGAACTCGCGGAAGTCCACGTTCTTGAGATGCATGCCCTCTCGCGCCTCCATGTAGTCATCCAAGCCCTCGTTCTCGGCGAAGAAGCGCGCGCGCTGGCACAGGTAAGCGTTCTCCGCCTCCACGCTGGCGAAGCTGAAACACTTGGTGAAGCGAAGCCGAGTGGCCGGCGCGCCCTCCAGCCCCACCAGCGCCTTGGACACGTCCCGGACGCCACAGCGCGCGTAGTCGAACTCGGCCTCCGCCACGTGTGTGTTGACACGCTCGTGATAGACCTGCAGCGCCCAGGAGGAGGCTGGAGTCGCAAGGGGGGCATACCGCGGCTTTTGTCTGTCTACCCATCCCAGTACCGAGATGGAAGTCAGTCTACCTGGAATCGTCTCCAGCATCGTCGTCTCCCCCTCCCTCTTCCAGCCCCAAAGGGTTTAATATGGTAAGTGGTGGTTGCCCTGAAAACTCCGTACCACGCACACCCACCTCCTCTAAGAGTCTTGGGCTGAGATCCAGAGACCTGGGTTTAAGTCTAGCACTGCCAAGTAGAAGCAACCTCAGGCAAGTCTGAGCTGAGGTCTCCTTAGCTGTGAATAAGTATTCAGGAATAATTACTTCGCTGAACAAGTAAGCATGGACACGTGAAGCCATCTGTGGCCGTGAAGCACCGAGCAGACTCCAACCTGGGGAACCTGAAGCCAGCCCATCTCCTCACTGTTTGACCTTGGACAGGTTGGTTTGTTTGTTTTTAACCACTGCACACCCGTTTGCTCCTTTTTAAAAATGGGGATATACCTACTTCATTGGTTGGCTGTAAGGATTAAATAAACGGTTTAAAATCTGGAAGCGCCCAGAGCTTTGGCTCTCTTGGTGTCTGCTTTTATTACCCCGTGCCCACGGGGATGGGGGGGGGCGCTCACTGCTGTCTCAGGCTCCCTCACAAGCAGGGAGAAAGGCAGGCAATCCAATGAACCTCTCTCATCTTGAACAGCCTGCACTCACCTCTAGCCGCTCACCTGGGTGGTAGTGTAGGCATCTCCGTTGCGGTACCGGGTGACCTGGCGAGTCCTTCGCACATAGTGGTAGCTGATGGCCTTCCACCAGATGCAGGGCGTGGCCTGCTGCATGCGGCCCACGCGCTCCCGAACACTGCTCACATCCACCCGGTGCTGCAGCTCATGGCGGGCTTGGCAGTGCCAACACTCCACCAAGTACACCGCATACAGCATGAGCAGGAAGGCCAGGGGGATGTAGACATAGCCGTTGGAGCAGGGGCTGTCGTGGTACATGAGGCTGTTGCCCTGGTAGGCGCTGCTGAAGGTGAGGCGGGTCACCGTGGTGACATGGCACCAAGCCACTGCCCCCAGGCAGCCATACATGAGCAGCGAGAGCAGGAGGCACTTCCAGTGGGACTCACGGCAGAGAGATTTGGTGAAAGAGGGCTGGACGGGTCGCTGCTGCTTAGACGGGCAGGGAGGGACGCCAACATGGGGGGGGGGGTGAAACAGAATGGCAGGACCCAGTGCAGAGGTGAATACAGAGATTGAGAGGCAGAGGCCGGCGGGCCAGCACGAGGGTGACAGACGGCAATGTAATAGGAAGAGATGGGAGCCAGTGACCAGAGATAAACACGGAATTGACTCAAAGGGAACCATGAGGACAGAGAAAGTGGCCAGAGTGCCAGTTGGGGAGAGTGCAAAGAGACCCCCAAGAGGCGGAAGTGCAGGCCCAGGAAGCAAAGAAGACAGAGATAGGCAGGATGGAATCAGAGAGAGGCCACAACAGACACAAAGACGAGACGGCAATGGAGCAAGAGAAGGTGTGGAAGGAGAGGGGACAGACAAGTCGGCATTAGCGAAGGCATGTCCCCAGCCCAGACCTCCCCCGGGTGTCCCAGGAAAGCAGGGGAGGGCCCACATAACAGGTGGGGCCCTGCCCTCTTACAGGTATTGTCAGCCCTGGGTTCTAGAGAAGCCGTCTCCTTTGGCTCACCCACCGCTCTCTATTCCCCCACAGAAAATCTAAACTTCCTTCGGAGAAGGGGCTTTCCCTAGGCCAGCCTCATTCCCCCTGCCTTGGCTATGTGAGCCTGCCCACTGTTCACCCGCCTCCCAAACACACGTTCTCCTCTAGGATGGGAAAGAAGGGCTGAGGCCCCTTCACACAAGACAGTCCAAAAGGGCAGAGGCTGAGGGGAGGCGGGGATGGGGCCCGAGAAAGACACTGGAAGCCCAGCCATTCTTCACTAATCCTTGATACTCTCCTAGGGCCTGTCTGTTAAAAGCACTTGGCACATTCTGAGTTGTTTACATGTCCTGTTCTCCCACCAGATGGAGTGCTCCTGAGGGCAGGGCCCCGGCTCATTCCCATTGCTTCCTGAGTCACACCCAGCAGACATATAACCAATGAGGGCTGAGTCTGACTGCTCAAATAGCCTGTCTTCCCAACCCTTATGCATTGTTGCACACCCATGCACATATGCACACACACACACACACACACACACACACACACACACACACCCTGCTGCGGTGCCTGCTGGCCCCTTTAATTCCTCATGCCTGGCCTTGGGGCCAGCCAGTGAGAGAGAGAAACCAAGTTAACAGGCAGCCGGCCCTAGATTTCGGTAAATAGGTAGGAAGAACAGGACAGACCTGTGCCTGCAAGGAAGAGATCATGCCTCTGCCTTTCAGGAATGGTGTCCTTGGAAGCTGGGTACAGGCGTGTGCCTGTATGCCCGCCTGGTAAGGCGCTTGTCCCGGTGTTGAGTACAACTGAAAGGGGCTACCCGAAAGCCTATCCCCACTCTCCTCCTGCCCTTGTGCGATGTGCATGGTGTGCACAAGTGTGCACGGGAGGGTGGGGCCGGGGGAGGGGGGCGGCTTATGGTACTTCCCTTAGTTTCTTTGTCTCCAGTTTTGAAGACTAAAGTAGGACCCTAACTAGGTACACGCTTAGTACTGACTCAAAAATTCTTAAGCTTAGTGCCCCCTAGGGGGAGCAGTTGGCACTGAGAGCGAGAGAGGTGAACAGCCCCCTGACACACACTCAGGATCCCAGTGACCCCAGGGGGTATGGCCTCTGCACGTCTGACCTTCCTGTGGTCCTAGCTCAGGTGACACCATAGCCTCACCGAGGCACCCTTCCCGGTTCCGAGCCCCCTCCAGTCCCCCTTCCGGGCCTTCAAGGTGGGATGCCGCCCACCATCCTCATCCAGGGGCCGACGCAGCCCCTCTCGGCTAAGCCCGGGGTCTGCGAGGCTCCGCCCCGGGCCCCTCCCCCTGCCCAGGACCCCCTGAGCCCCGCCCCCGGCGCGGCCCCGTCCTCGCCGCCGCAGACCGAGCGGGCAGTGGCGCCGGACTGCGGCTGCGGCGGCCGGCTCGGGGTGCGGGGCGCCGGCCGCTCTGCGGCGGAACCGGCGGGGACGCTGCGAGGCGCGGGGGATGGGGGCTGGATCGCGGCCGTGCGGGGGCACCGAGGACCGCCGGCTCTCACCTCCTCTCGGGCGGGGCCCTCGTCCGCCGCTGCCATGGGCTCCTCCGGGACCCCGGAGCCGCCGCCGCCGCCGCCGCCGCCGGCGCTCTCTCCCGCGGCCGAGCCAGGGGGGGACATGGCGTAGAGGGGGCGCGTCGAGCTCAGGACCTCCCGGGGGGCTGCGGGGGGCCGGGGGCATCCTGCGCTGGCCCTGAGGAGGGGGCGCGAGGGGCGGGGCCCTCTGCTCCCCACCCCCCGCCGGGGGGAGGGGGCCTAGGAAGGGCACGGAGGGGGCGGAGGTGGGGGGGTGGGTGGGAGGGCGGGCTGGAGGGGCCGGGCTGGGGGGGCCGGGGCCGGGGGCGGGTGTCACCTTGAGGCCCTCGCGGCGCCGCTCCGCCTCCCGCCCGCTCCCGCCGCCGCCTTTTGTCTGAGCCGAGCTGGAGCCAGCGCGCCCCCCCCTTCCTCCCAGTGCAGCAGAGCCCCGCCCCCGGCCCCCCAAACTCCGCCTTCCCCAAGCTTCCCTAATAACCACCGCCACACCGCCCAAGGGGTGAAGCAACAGGGGCTCCCCGCACCCTTTCTGCCGGCCCTGCTCACTGCATCTTCCTCCCGCCTGCCCATTCTGGGAAGATCACAGCCCCAGCTCCTCTCCAGCTGCCCTCGCTAGAAGAGCCAGGAGGAGTCAGCCAGCAACCCTCTCCCGTCCTCAAGTCCTTGAGGCTGAAGACTGGGGAGAGGAAAATGAGTCTGGGCATTCTAGGGAAGACCCTTACTCCTAATAGCGGGACAGCGGGTTAAGACGGGAGCCAGACTCCGGAGGGATGGAAGGGAAGACACCGACGCCAGATCCCAGAAAGGACTACTAGAGGGCAGAGATTGGGAACACTGGAACGATCTCCCTCCCTCCCTTCCTCCCAAGAGTAGCCCCAGAAATGCGATGAAGTGTATCCAGTGCCCTGAGCTGGGGGTCAAGGGCACCTGAGTGTAACGCTTAGTTCTGGCTCTGCCCTTAGACAAGTGCCTTCTCTCTCTGAGCCTTATTTCCTCCGCACTAGGCTGCCAGAGTAGGGAGGCAAAGTCACAAAGCAGGCAACCTGAGTGACTGCAGGCAGCTAAGCCCTCGTGCCATCCGCCCACTGCTGTTTCTCCCTGCATTGCCTAGGACGCACAAGGGACTGATGTTTTTTTTATTTTTTGGGCATGCATTCGTAGGTACATCCATAAATGAGCAAGTATACAGCAACGACTGTGTGTCATGTATAGAAACAAAATAAATTTTCCTACCCTCAAGAAGCACAGTCTAACTAAGAAGACATGCAACCCAATCTTTATAATAGAGTAGTGTGGCAAAGGGCAGGCGTGGTCACTGTGTGTGTGTGTGTGTGTGTGTGTGTGTGTGTGTGTGCGCGCGCGCGCGCGCGCACGCGTGCAGTCAATGTTCCATCCTACTGTGTTCCTGGGCTCTGTGGCGTACAATAACTGTTCTCTCTTACCAGTAAGGAACCAAGGCATATGGAGGGCATGTGAATGCTTAAGGAGTCACCTGCCAACTCAGAATTCCTCCTGGAATTCAGATCTTTTTCTGGAGAGAAAGTTCATGAAGGGATGTAACACACACCTGGGGCAGGAGGATCAATACTTTGAGGCTGGGCTGGACTACATAAGGAAACACAAAGGAGTATGTTGGTAGTGCATATGGTGTGGTGGTGGCTACTGTACCCACGTCTTCATCACCGTGGGACTCAATCCCAGCCAGCCAAGTAGATAATTGTTGGCCCTGAGGCGCTGCCCTGGCTCAGCCACCCACCCACTGAGGCTGGCAAGTTGCCTGTCTTCTCTTTTTAGACATGACAGCCACAAGTTGGTCTCTAAGTCCCACCTGCTGAGGGCTGAGGAAAGCAGGGTGATTTCATCCCCTGTCCAAAGACCCAGGAGAGTTGTGTATCCAGCCTACAAAGCTGCTCTGCTGCCACGCTGTCTGTTTGCAATAAATCTGTATTTAAGCAAAAAAGAGAGAGATAAAATGTTGGTCATACACCTTTAATCCCAACAGAGGCAGGGAGGCAGAGGCAGGAAGTATTCTGTAAGTTTGAGTCCTGGTCTACAAAGGGAGATCCAGGGCAGTCAGGACTATTACACAGAGAAAACATGTCTCAAAAACACCAATAATAATTAATACTAATAAAAGTTGGGGGATAGGTAGTAGGTTGGAGCTGTAATTGAGTGGTAGAACAATTGTCTGATGTGTGAAGCTCTGTTCAGTCCCCAGTACTGGGAGCCCCTTTTTAGGGACAGTGAGTGGCCTTGAGGCAGTTTTGATATCTGGTCTTTGGGGACAGAAAGGAAGCATTCTCAGGTGCCTGGGTACTCTCTTGCCTCTTCTGGACCAGGAAAGCCACTCCCATCCTCACCCCTGCTCCCGCCTCCATTTTCCTGGTCCTCCCTTTCCAAGTGAGGACCAGCAACTCAACTTTCTGCCCACCGACTGATTCGAGGTCAGCCAGGATGACCCTCTTCAGGTCAGAATGCCCATGCAGTCTCCAGAAGGGAGAGCTTCCCATCCACAGCGTGATGGCTCATTCCAGTGGCTCCCACCCTCACTGTCTGGGAAGCCTGCCTCACAGCCAACTCCAGCCCCTCCCTCTGGCTTCAGTCCCCCCTGCACAGATACTGGCCTTTCCTAACCTGCAGGGACTCACCATACTTTCAGTGCAGTACTGATCTTCCTCCTGATGCCCATCCACCGTCTCTACGTCAGGGGACACTGAAAGAGAGTTCTCTCCCCTACCTTCTCTGGTCATAGCCAATAGCCTTCCCAGCAGCTCCAGGAAATGGGGGTTGGAGTGGGTGGGGGGTAGTGGAAGGAGCTGACCGCCTGATCGCCATGGAAACTGGGCCTGATTCTCTGAAGATAAGCCTGGCTCAGTGGATGGAGATGGGAAATAGAACCATCCAAAGGGAACCAGAGGACACCAGCAGAGGGAGGGGCTAAGTGGCCTCACCTGGGAGAGGACTGTTGTTAAAGAAAGTCAGGACCTGACCACACTACAGTCTGAGTCAAAAGCCAAAGGTCACCCCTTCAGATAACACTGCCACTGGGGTCCTTGTCCCCACTCCGGGAGTGACAGAAAGGGTCTCTGTCAGTGTATAGGCTCTTCGGCTGGAACTGTAGTGGCTCAATGCTGCCCTCATGTGGTCAATAAAAGGGTTGCCACACTCCTACCTGTTAGGGCTCAGGACCAGGTTGGGTGGAAATAGTTGGGTTCAAACTTGGCTCCTTTGTGAACTAGAAAGGTGGTCCCTGCAGTCCCCGAATCCTGTGCCTTTGCAGAGTGCACAGGTTCCACCATCAGTGAGATTTAGATGGATATGGACTTCATTGAAGAAAACTTATAAAACGGGATTAGGTCAGAAGAAGCCAGTTCTGTATTTTTCTGACTATGGGTTCTTGGGCAAGTCAGCTGACCTTCCTGAGCCTCAGGCAGTTTGTTTTTTGTTTGTTTGTTTTGTTTTTGTTTGGTTTTGTTTTTGAGACAGGGTTTCTCTGTGGTTTTGGAGCCTGTCCTGAAACTAGCTCTTGTAGACCCGGCTGATCTCAAACTCACTGAGATCCACCTGCCTCTGCCTCCCTCGTGCTGGGATTATAGGCGTGCACCACTACCATCATTTGCTTACATTTTGAGAAGGGAGAGGAAGCTAAAAACTCCTGACCCTAATGGAGTGCCTGTTGTTTTGATTGGTTTGGGGTGTTTGTTTTGGGGTGTTGTGCTAAGGATCAAACCCAAGGAATTGCATTTGCCAGGGAAACACTCTGCCTCTGAGCTACATTCCTAATAGATGCCTCAGTTCCTTAGCTGTCCTGTCAGGACTCCAACCTGCCTTGTGCTTCGCACGTCCTCTTGCTCGCCCTCCAAGTGAATAGGCGCGTCTCTCCTTCTCAACTCTTCACCCTTCCCTTCCATCTCCATTTCAAATCCAGCCAACTTCGTCCCTCTCCCCACCCTGCTGTATGACAAATCTTCTAAGCTGTAACTGCCAGTTTTTTAAAGATCTATTTCTTTTTACTTATGTGCAGCACGAGTATTTTGCCTGTGTGTGTGCATATGGCAAGTGCCCGTGCAGGTCAGAAGAGGGCATTGGATCCAATATAGATTGCAGGTGGTTGTGAGACTCCACGTGGGTGCTGGGAACTGAACCTGGGTCCTTTCCAAGAGCAGTAAGTACCCTTAATTGCAGGAGCATCTCTCCAGCCCCAGCCAGAAACTTTTAGAAGACTGGAGGGTTTTCTTTCCTTATGGTGATGGTGATGGTGGTGGTAATGGTGAAGATGATGGTGGCTGTTGGTTGTTACTGTGGCTATTGATCTATCTCTCAGATCAGCGGATATCACATATATTAAAATAGCTCCACATATGTTTGCAAATGAGTGAACAGTTGGATAAATAAGCTAAGGCTCCCCTGGAAAGGGCAGAAGAGCATTGCTATTTGCCTCAGCTTCCCTTCCCCAATGCCGGGAATGCAAGGAAGCTGTCCCCTTGATTGGTGAGGACCTCCTGAGGGTATTGCTAGCCCAAGGAAAGAGCAGCATGAAGCTTCAGCTCAAGGCTCCCCTGGGGGTGGTACGCTCTCAAACCCAGTTATGTCAAGGAAAAGCAGGACAGGGAGAGAAAGATGTTTCATGGCTGGGGCGGCTGGGGTGGAGACCTCAATAGTGTCAGGGACCTCCCCACCCTGGTCCCCACTGTGCGGAACTAAACTCTGACTACTGGGGGGTAGCCAGATACTGCACCCACCAAAGGCCAGTGCACCACCCTGTGAGGAAGAAGAAGCCACATGACCACCATGACTTGTTAGACGAGTCTGCCCCAGAAAAGCCACTTCTCCAAATCACATCCTCCTGCCAAATCTGTAATCTGGGGAGCTGACACAGGAGACTGTCTATAAAGACTCCTCAAGGAAAAGCTGCCTCCCTAAGGATCATGAAGTGTACCCCTTCCTACCCATACCCCTGGGCAGTGATAGATAGGAAACTGAGAAAAAGGCAGAGTAGGGAAGCAAAGCCTCCCCATCAGTGCTGGCTGGCCTTATGTCAACCTGACAGGAGCTAGTTATCGGAAAGGAAGGCACCTCAATTAAAATGCCTCCATGAGATCCAAGCGTAGGTCTGGAGAGATGTCTCGTGGTTAAGAGCCGTGACTGCTGTAGTAGGAATTCTTTTCCCCAATAGCTTCAGTTTTAGGAACAAAGCCACGCCCTAAGACTCTGAAACGATTGTCGGAAACAAATTCCCACTACAAACTGCTCTTTCAGAGAACCAGGGTTCAATTCCCAGCACCCACACGGCAGTTCACAACTGTCTGTAATTCCAGTCATACATGTAGGCAAAACACCAGAGCACATAAAAATGAAATAAATTATTTAAAAGGAGCTAACTGTAGAGCATTTTCTTACTTAGTGATTGATGGGGAGGGCCCAGCCCATTCTTGGGTTGGTGGTCCTGGGTTTTATAAGAAAGCAGGCTGAGCAAGCCACTAGATGAAAGCCAGTAAGCAGCTCCCACCATGGCTTCAGCATCAGCTCTTGCCTCCAGGATCCTGCTCTGAGTTCCTGTCCTGACTTCCTTCAGTGGTGAACAGTTATGTGGAAGTGTAAGCAGAATAAAAACCCTTTCCTCCCAACTTGCTCTTTGGCCATGGTGTTTCCTTGGAGCAATAGACCCCATCCGGCAGGGCAGTGGTAGTGCACGCCTTTAATCCTTTAATCCCAGCACTCGGGAGGCTGAGGCAGGTGGATGTCTGTGAATAAGAGTTCAACCTGCTCTACAAAGCAAGTTCCAGGACAGACTCCAAAGCTACACAGAGAAACCCTGTCTCAAAATACCCAGCCAGAAAGAGAGAGAGAGAGAGAGAGAGAGAGAGAGAGAGAGAGAGACCATCCCACCAACCTATTCAGACTCTGCATAAAGCAGCCAGTTTGTGCAGAAAACCAAGAAATAACACTTCTTAAACAATGGACGAATAAATACTGAAGACACACTGAAGAACTAAAAGAAGGAACGAATGAATGCATGGAATTAATGAATGAAATAAAAACGAAGGGGAAGAGTGAAATGAGTGATGAACGAATGAAGGAAGGAAGGAAGGAATGAATGAATGGGGCGAAACAACGCAAGATGAAGCAAGATGAGTCAAGACCGGTAACCAGAGACTCCCCAGCCTACGCAGGCAATAGTCAAGGGGGATTCCGGAGGGGCGGGGCTCTACCCGGAAGCGCCTTGAGGGGCGGGGCTGTGGGCGTGGCCGTGGCTGGCCGCCACTTCTTGGGCCCGGGGGCGGGGCAAGAGAGAAGACTGGACTGGACTGGGGACCGTTCAGCCGCTCGAAGCATCCGCTGCGGTGGACCTGGCGGGAGGGCGCACCGGACCTCTCACGCTTCGTGCGGCTCCTCGCGCCTGCACAATCGGGTAATGAGGCCGCTCGGAGAGGGGCTCTGGTCCCGCTAGGCGGACCCACAAACCCGGAAAAGCGCGCAGCACATCTCAGCCTTAGATCCCGCCGGACCCCGGACCCCGGACCCCGGGCTGGCGCGGCCGGCATGTCGGATGCGCGGAAGGGGCCGGACGAGGCGGACGACAGCCAGTGCGACTCCGGCATAGAGTCGCTGCGCTCTCTCCGCTCCCTGCCCGAGCCTACTGCAGCCCCAGTCTCGGAACCGTCGCACAAAGGCTGCCCACAGCCCTGGAGCCATCATCCTCCAGAGACCCACAAGGAACCAGAGGAGAAAGAAGATGCGGATGGAGAGCGGACGGATTCCAACTATGCCTCTTCCTCTCTCACCGAGTCCTTGCCCTCGCTAGGGAGACTCGAAGTGGAGGGCCCGGCCCCAGGCTCACCGCTGCCCCACACCGAGGTGCTCAGCCCTCAGCAACTCGAAGCCCTCACATACATCTCTGAGGATGGAGACACGTGAGTAAACTGGCTAGGCTGAGACGGGATGCTCAGTCAGAGCCTTCACTGGAGCTGCAACTGAGTGGGCCCCCCCACCACCATCATCCCTGGAAAGGCCAACCCCCTTCTCTTAACTCCAAACTTAAGTCGAGCCTACTTTTAAGCTGTAGCCAGGTTCAGACCACAAGACCAGACATCATCTCCCGCTTTGGGAGTGGGCAGAGCTAGCAGGGCCCTTGGAACCTGGAACACCAGCCAGAATCTTGACAATCTACCAATGACCCACCCCCACCCCCCGGGGAAGAGAAATTCCCCCACAACTGATTCAGTTTTTGTTTTTCTTGTTGGGAGAGAGGATGTTCCTGTTTGCTCAATATTGGAGATCCCAGCTGTCTGGCTTCAGAGTGCCCTCTCTATCCCAAGGAACAAAAAACAACACCAGGCTACAGGTTACCATTTGAGCCGGGGAAGCTCACTTAAGGGTGCTTCCAGGTTGCCGCTTTGGAATTGGTTCCAAAAGAAGGGTGACTATAGACCGAGAATTCTTGCCCCAACAAACAGGACAGGCAGCTGGCTGCCCCAGCTTACTTCCTTCTCCGCTGAGAAAAGGGAAGTGAGAGCCTCCCCAGCACCCTGCACATCCTCAGCTCCCCAAATTCTCGCCTCTCTCCTGTCTTATTCATTTTCTCCCTTAGGCCCGGTTGGAGTCAGGTGCAGCTGGACTGACAGGCAATCAAGTGTGTAGGGTTGAGTAGCCAGTGAGAAATGGCTTTAGGTAGAAGCAGCAGGCAGAGTGACTAGGCTTTGGAAATGACAGATAGAATCGGGGGCCGTTGGAGTCCCAGATGAGAGATGCCGGACTGCAGGGGGTTACCTGTCCTGACCTGCTTGCTGGAGATACGGGGGTCTTGGGTGGGTACTTGGCAAAGAGTCTCCACGCTGTGAGTGGGAGAGAGGGGGTAAAAGCCTGTTGTACTTGGTGCTTGGATCACAAGCCCTTAGCCCAGACCTCAGTTTTGGAAGCTCCATGCAGAACTTCCCCTACTGCCTGCCTTTGTGAGCCTCTGAGCTATAGCCTTGAGCAGCTCTGGTTAGAGACAGACGTGTGTGTGTGTGTGTGTGTGTGTGTGTGTGTGTGTGTGTGTGTGTGTCTGTGATCATCAGGACTCCCCAGGGGAGCTCTTTCCTCCTGTGGAGGTGGCTGGACTGTGGGAATCGTGGAAGTGCGAAAGGAAGTGGGTGGAGGGGAGAGAGAGAGGGAGAGAGAGAGAAGGAGATGGCTGCAGGAATGTGACCCACAGAGCAGGCCCTGGCCGAGGGGATTTCCAGAGTGGTTCCTCCCTCCTTCCGTCACTCTCTCCTGGCCTTCTTTACTGCTTGCCTACAGCAAAAGCTTGCCCCTCTCCGGCCTGAGTATCCCCCCTCCCTAGCCCAGAGAGGCCTTTCGACAAATTGCCCCAAGGCAGCTGTCCAGGTCTAGACTGTTTAACCCTGGCTTTCATTTTCCCCACCTGATGCGGGGAAACCCCAAGACTGGAACTTCCCATCCCAAATGCCCCAGTTGCCCCTCAGTTACAAGTCTCGTCACCCCCTCCCCATCAAAGACGTTTCCTGCCCTGCACCAAACTCCCGCTGGAGCTGCACTTAGGCGAGGGTTTCTGACCAGGCCCCCTCCGGCCCCTCTTGACTAATGGGTAGGGCAGTAATTCAAGGTGCCATGCTTGCCCTCTTCCCTCCCTTGGAATGTGTGACATTGAGTTGCTGGGGGGGAACCCCCCCATCTGCCACCTCCTGTCCTCCCTGTTGTGGGGAGGTGGGTAACGCAGCCCTGGAAACCCCCTCTGTGTCCCTCCAGCGGCTTTCAGTTTAGCTTTGAGCCGCAGCTGGCCTGGCAATGCCCTGGGGGGGGGGGCAGAAGGGAGCTGGGTGTGAGCAACTTGGACAGGAAGGCTTGTCCTGTCAGCACCCTGCCCACATGCCCACCCAGCCGAGGCCCTCCACAGGTCTAGCCATCGGATCGTGGAGCTCCTACCTCCAGAATCCTGGCTTCCTGTACCAACCCCTTACTTCCTGGCCCAAACTCTCACTTCCTGCACCACTTGGTTGTGGGTAGCTAGTTAGAGGTTGATGCATTCATTCTAAGCTCAAGCCCCCAGCACGCCCTCTCTGGCCCAGGCCCTGACCCTAGCCCTGTCCTGCTCCAGGCTGCTCCACCTGGCCGTGATTCACGAAGCCCCAGAGGTGCTGTTCTGTTGCTTGGCTTTCCTGCCCCGGGAAGTTCTGGACATTCAGAACAACCTTTACCAGGTGAGTAGAGAGAGAAGCCTACGTGCAGACAGATACCTGTGTGTAACCCGGTCACCAAAAGCCAGCGGCCAAAGCAGAGGCCATCTGCCAGACAGAGGCAGCAGCTGCAGCACAGAGATGAGTAAGAGGGGCGTGCCCGCAGACTCCCCACCAGCTCCTAACTACACAGCATGGTGACAGTTGTATTGAAGATTGTCCTAGCTTCAGTGGGGGCTAGAGTCTTTGAGGGACAGGCCAGGAAGGCCACATGAAAGAGAGGACATCTTAACCGAGCCTTAAGGAGAGAGCTGTCTGAGAGACTGCCCTGGCTGCTCTGTCTTTCCTCCCCTCCAACCCCTGCAGACCAGCCCTTGAGGGTAACACAGACGTCTTCAGAGGATGAAGGACTAAGAGCAGGAGGCTCTGTTTCCCTCACCCTGCCGCCAGAATTGGAGTCCTGAGCACCTGGGAGAGGGGCTTGGCAGTCATTTCAGGCAACAGCCACCTCTGGCTTGTACAGCTCCTCTCAGAGAAGATTCTGGGACGTAAAGATGGTTGTAGGCCGCTGCGGCAGCGGCCCTGTGACCCTGTGGCCCTCTCTGCCCACAGACAGCCCTCCATCTTGCTGTTCACCTGGACCAGCCAGATCTAGTTCGAGCACTGGTGCTGAAGGGAGCCAGCCGGGCACTGCAGGACCAACACGGTGACACCGCCCTGCATGTAGCCTGTCAGCGCCAGAACCTGGCATGTGCATGCTGCCTGCTGGAGGAGCAGCCAGAGCCAGGCAGAGAGCCATTTCACCCCCTGGACCTCCAGCTGAAGAACTGGCAAGGTGCAAGTAGTGTCGGGGCCTGAGGGGTTACCAAGGGCTGGACGGGGCCCAAACATCAGAGAGGAGGCACCCACCCTGCCTGTCGCTCTCCTCCAGTGTGAGTGCGTGAGCACTCAATACATGCTCACTGAAGGACTGGGTGAAGGATTTGTTTCAGAATTTGCCCAGTGCCTGCAGGGTGATGAGCAGAAATCTAAAGCTTGCCCTTGAGATGTATAACTTAGTAGCAATCAGATGAACAAATGAACTCACTTTCAGCGTGTCACCCGTTGTCCTATAGGAGCAGAGCTTACAATCTGGAGCAAAACTAAGAAAGAGGGAGGCAGGTGATCAGTGTCAGAGCGAAGTGTGTGTGTTTAAAGGAAGTGAGCGTTGCAGAGAAGCAGAGGGAGGGGGGATGCGGCAGGGTCCGGGGTGATTTTTGTACGGTGGCTCAGGGAAGTCCTCAGAGTCAGGGATCTCTGAACAGAAGAGACTGGAAAATGGTAAAGGATGTTAAGTTTCGATCTAGGTCTGTGTTACAGGCAGGCTTAGAGAGAGGAAGGGGGTTCTAGACCAGAAGGGATATAGCGAAATAAAAGCCATGGGGCACGTAGGAAGGGACCTGCCTCCGGGTAAGGTAGAGACTGGGGCCAGGAGTATTCCCGGGCAGGGAGAAGGGGGGGGCATGTTGGAAGAATGCGTGCATTTGGGGTTGCCACTCAGCAACCTGACCCTTGGAGCGTGAAAGTTTCAATAACATGACTGAAAAAATGGAAACTCTGAGTTCCCTTCCTCTCAGACCTCTGAGGGGGTTTTGGGGAGGTTGTATTTTAACAGTCCTGTGATTAGAGGCATTGAGTAGGCAGAGTCCCATGAGGCTGAAGGGTTGGGTAGTCCCTGAAGAAAAGGACCAGTAGATAGCAAACAGCAGTCCCCACCCTGCCCCATCCCAGGTCTGGCCTGCCTCCACATCGCCACGTTGCAGAGGAACCAACCACTCATAGAATTGCTGCTTCGGAATGGAGCGGACATCGATGCACAGGTGAGGCCGCTAATCAGGGAGCCACCTGGTCCAACACCTGCTCCCATCTGCTCTCGCTGCAGGTGTCCTGCTAGCGCTAACCATGTGGACGCCCCATCTCCAGAGCTCAGGCTCGGGCATATTAGCTCTTGACATTCATAAGTGACACCCCCATTGCTCTCCAGGAGGCCACCAGTGGGAAGACCGCACTGCACCTGGCTGTGGAAACCCAGGAGCGTAGCCTGGTGCAGTTCCTGCTCCGGGCTGGTGCCAGGGTAGATGCCCGAATGCTCAATGGTTGCACACCTTTGCATCTGGCAGCTGGCCGGGGCCTCAACAGCATCTCATCCACTCTGTGTGAAGCTGGTGCTGACTCCCTGCTGCTGAATGTAGAAGATGAGACACCCCAGGACCTGGCTGAGGATGTAAGAGGACCTTGCAGGGCAGCCCACCTATAGGCTCTTTCATTAGGCAAAGAACCCCTACCAATTAATAGTGCTGGGGTCAGGTTGGAGATGTAACTCAGTTGACAGAGTGCTTGCTTAGCACAGAAGAGGCCCTGGGTTCAATCCCCAGCACCACATAAAGTGGCATATATCTATAATTCCAGCACTTGGGAAATGGGGACAGAGGATCAAATACTGAAGGTCTTCTTCATCTATTATAGTAACTTCCGGGCCAGCCTAAGCTCAAACCCTCTTCCCTCCAAAAAGCTAGGGCAGAACAGGACTGCTGCTGCTTCTTATTATTATCATTTATTTATTTATTTATTTATTTATTTATTTATTTATTTGACACAAAGTTTCTCTGTAGTTTTGGACCCTGTCCTGGAACTTGCTCTGTAGACCAGGCTGACCTCAAACTCAGAAATCCTCCTGCCTCTGCCTCCCCAATGCTGGGATTAAAGGTGTGTGCCAACACCACTACTGGACAAAACTCATATTTTCTATACATAGAAATACAGTCATGTTTGCTGGCATACACCTTGTCCCAGCACTTCACTTGAGAGGCAAAAGCAGGCAGATCTCTATGAGTTCGAGGCCAGCCTGGTCTACAGAGTGAGTTCCAGGACAGCCAGGGTAGTCACAGAGAATCCCTGTGTCAAAAACAAACAACACAAATATTCAAAGCATTCCATGCTCACCCTTCCCAACACCACCAACAGAGAAGAGTCCAGTGGACTGGATCAGCTCTAAGTCACTCCTAGCTCGGATATCCTACATGATTTATTTACTTTAGAGCTTCCCTAAGTCTGGGGCTCTGCCATGACCAGGCCCAACCCACTGTATGGGAAGACAGTATTGGCAGAGTCCCTCACAGGTCCCTACCGCCCTCTCATGACCTTAACGCTGTTTCTCTCCATTTGCCTTTCTCAGCTTCTTTCTTATTTGCCCTTTGATGACCTGAAAATCTCCGGGAAGCCACTGCTGTGTACTGACTGAAGCCAGGACAGGGTCCCACCCTGGAAGCTGGAAACGCAGCTGCTGCAATTGGGGCCCAAGCAGCGCGGCCCTCTGCTGAGGCCAGAGCCTGGGGCTAGTGCAGTCCTAAAAGGACAGGGAGAGGAAGGGTTACAAAGGAGGATGGGCCCGTCTGGAAGGAAGAGCTTCCCAGGTGGACAGGATGGAGTCTCCAAAGACCCTCCAAGTCCCAGGTGTCCTGAGTGAAGCCTGCTTACTTCTGTTGAAGAGGACATGGGCTGAAGTTGCCAAACATCGGAGAAACAGGAATGAGCAAGCGGGACCCCGAGGGGTCTTACCTAAAATCCCTCGTGAGTGTGCTTGGGATGGGGGTTGAACTTAGAGCCTCCCAATGGCAGGCAAGCTTACTTGCCTCTATCCCCAGCCCTCTTTTTACTTTTAATTTTGTGACAGGGTCTCACTGAGTGCCCTGAACCCAAGCAGTCCTTGAACTAGGATCCTTCTGTCTCAGCCCCCTGAGTAGCTGAGAGTATGGGTTTCCTATCAGTGGGCCTGGAAGAGCACACTTTTCTGAAGACTTCATACATAAGGCTCCAAGCTGAGCCTTTGGGAGGGGACAATTCTGTAACATGACACTAAAATGGAAGACAGAGACTTAAAAAAAAAAGGTTTCCCCCGCAGGTCGGTGGTGGCACACTCCTTTAATCCTAGCAAAGGCAGGCGGATATCTGTGAGTTCGAGGTCAGCCTGGGTTACAGAGTGAGTGCCAGGACAGGCCCCAAAGCCACAGAGATACCCTGTTTCGAAAAACCAAAAAAAAAAAAAAAAAAAAAAAAAAGTTTCCCTTCTACAGTTGTGTGCATAGGCAGGCATGACATCATCTGTGATTCTGAGGCAAAGGCAGAGAAGGAAACTGGCCCCTGAGCCAGGAGAGTAGGCTTTCCTGGGTAGGGTAGGAGGATGGCCTGTTTCCTGCCAACACAGACACATCTCCTTCATGTGGAAATGCCCAGGGATGAAAAGTGAGGAGGGACATAGAGACACCTGTCCCTGAAGAAGCCTGGCGACACTGAGCACAAGAAAGCTGCAACTCTTTTTTTTTTTCCCGTAGATTCCACACAGTGAGGGCCCTGCTAGGTCAGGCCCTTGAGTGGCGTGAAAGACAAGGAGAAATAAAGCAACATAGTTTCTGACGCTTAGCACTTATAAACTCTAAGCAAGTACATCCTGTGAGTGAGACAGCTATTAAAATTATAAACAAATGCATGGTCATACGTGGCGGTGGGTGCTGGGAAGGGAAAAACTAGCAGGGAGGAAGATAATGGAGTGGGTGGAGCATCAGTCTTTGGGTGGTCAAGGGAAGCTTCAGGTGGGTACCATAGAAAAATAGGACACAGCCTGGTGGAGGACACGCTTTTAATCCCAGTGCTCGGGAGGCAGAGGCACACGAATCTCTGTGAGTTCGAGGCTAGCCTGGTCTTACAGAGCAAGTTCAAGGACAGCCAAGAAGACTACACAGAGAAACTGTCTTGAGAAAAAGAAGGACGGAAAAGTTATGACATAGGATGAGCAAAGAAAGGGGCAGAGCGTTGGGGGCAGGCCTTCCATGAGTTAACGAAACGGATAACAGGTCAGCAAGATTGTACAGGGTCGGGTGAGGGAGTGGGCGAGGAGGACCAAAGAGGTCATATATAGTCTCGAAGGTCACGGTCACCGGTACTAGGTGATGGTCACTGACCCAGCCAAAAAAAGGCGACATCGTTGTTAGAAAATGAAAAAAAAAAAGAAATAGAAAATGGGAAAACATAAGGGGACGTGCTCAGATACTCAAAAGTCTGGCCCACTAGGCGGCAGTAGCCGTCCCTGCGTCTGGCACGGCAAGGGTGGATGACTCTGACCAAGCCGGCTCCTGGCTAGGGAGGGAGTCCCAACTGGGGTTCCCCGCGAGAACCGCGCCCGGTCTGCCTCCGGGCCGCGCGGGGGCGCTGTGGTCGGGGCGCCGAGGAGGGGCTCAGGCGGGGTGGAGGCGGGAAGAGCGCGCACTTCCGCTGGCAGGCTGGCTAGCTGGCTGCGGGAGCGGGCGGCGGAGGGAGCGGAGGGAGCGTGCGGCCCGGGGACTCGCATTCCCCGGTCCCCCCTCCGCCCCACGCGGCTGGGCCATGGATGCCAGGTGGGGGGGCCTGGGCGGCCATGGCCCACGTGATCGAGACCCCGGGGCCACGTGATCGGGACCCCCGGGCTCGGGAGGCGGGGTGGGGTCCCCCAGCTGCAGACCCGCGTGGCGCTGTCAGGAGCCGGTGTGGATGCAGGCGCAGCGCGTGGCCTGTGCTCCTGGGGGGGGGGGGCTTCGGGATGTCGCCCGGAGGGGACGTGGGACCGTGGCGCTCCGGAGTGGGAGGGGAAGCGCCTGTGGCCTGAGCTGCCCGCGCGTGCTGGAGGGAACAGAGGCGACCTATGTGGCTGGGCAGGCGGGGCCGCCCCCGGGAAGGGAGGAGGTGCTGCCTGGCCTGCATCGGACCCCCCGAGAGAGAGAGCGGGAGAGAGAGGCTCTTTGTCCGTCCCGCTGGACTGCAGCGGAGGGGGCGGGGACGCCACTGGGCACTTCCCTGGGACAGTCCCCCTCCGGAGGGCAGAGGGGCTGAAGAGCTGCAAGCCTAACCGCTGCTTTGGCTGTCCCAGCAGATGGTGGGCAGTGGTGGTGCTCGCCGTGCTCCCGTCTTTGGGAGCAGGTGGAGAGTCACCCGAAGCCCCTCCGCAGTCCTGGACACAGCTGTGGTTCTTCCGCTTTTTCTTGAATGTTGCTGGCTATGCCAGTTTTATGGTACCTGGCTACCTTCTGGTGCAATACTTAAGACGGAAGAACTACCTGGAGACAGGTAATGTGGCCAAAGGGTGGGGACATGGGCTAGGGATGGTTGCAGGTAGATATTCAAAGCGGAACATTACTTGGGAAGGGAGGGAGGCCAGTAGGTCAGACGGGGGGGGGGGGCGGGCTGGCTGTACTAGAGAAGTTGTGGAGCTTGATCTTGTGTGTCTTCTTCAGGCAGGGGTCTCTGCTTTCCCCTGGTGAAGGCCTGTGTGTTTGGCAGTGAGCCCAAGGCCTCTGATGAGGTTCCACTGGCTCCCCGGACAGAGACAGCAGACAGTACTCCCTCTTGGCAGATCCTGAAGCTGATCTTCTGTGCCTCGGGCCTCCAGGTAAGTAGCCGGGCTTCCCCTCTCTTCCCAGGTTGGGTACAAACAGCCAGGGACTCAAGGAAACCAAAGTTGTCCTGCCCATACCAAAGGTTTGTTGATTTAGGTATGGTTTGTGTCCCTGCAGGACGGTCCCCACCCTGAAAATGTTAAAGGAAATGATACTTTCTTCCTCTTACCCTTTCCTCCTCCAACACCTGCCCTGAAAGTTCACCATACACATGTGTAAATGATGCCTACTGTGGAAGAGGGGCCTGTCTTTTCTGTATTTTTTTTTTTTCTGTGCTTTTTCTGCGCTGTGTACTGTGTCTATTATATGAGCACACTGACAACATTTTTGGGAAAGCCAAGCAAGGTGGCACAAGCTGTCAATCCAGCTATTTGGAAGCTAAAGCAGAAAATTGAAAATTCAAGGCCTGTGCCTAATACACACACCTTTAATCCCAGCTCTCTGGAGGCAGAGGCTGGAGGATCTCCCTGAGTTTGAAGCCAGCCTTGTCTCCAGAGTAAGCCCCAGGACAGCCAGAGCTACACAGAGAAACCCTGTCTTGGAAAAAAAAAAAAAAAGTAGAAAAAAGTTGAAGGTCTGGCCTGCCTGAGCAGTTTAGTGTGAGATACATTTGTCCCAGCATGTGAGAGGCAGAGCAGGTGGATCTCTGAGTTAGAGATCATCCTGGTTAACGTGTCAAGTTCTAGGATAACTAGGGCTGCATAGCAATACCCCTGTGTCAAAATAATGAAATAATGTGGCAGGGGGGCTGGGGATATAACCCAATAGTAGAGTACTTGCCTACAAAAGCACAGAAGATCCCCAGGACCACACACAAAAGAGTTTAGGCAGCCAGTCTGCCTTTGTGAGTAGGATGCTATCACAGGCCATAGTTTGGAGTGGATGCCAACCCACCTTAGATGTATGTGAAAGTGGCCAGTCCTCCCTGAGGCTTGTTTTGAACTGGTTCAAAATAAGTAAAACTTTATCTGGTGTATGGAACCAGCTCTAATGAACTTGTGTCAAGAAGATGGACGGGGTGTGGTCCTAAAGCAGGTGTCATTGTGTTTATAACTCCATGTACTGCTCTACAAGGTGAATTAAAGCTTACACAAGAAGCCTCTACAGAGAGGAACCAGAAAGGGGGTGTCGTCACATCACATGCAGTCGTCCCAAGGATGAGGGAAAATCGAGGCTTCTGCCTTTCCCTTGTTTACTGTGACCATTCCCCCCCCCCCAGGTGTCCTATCTGACGTGGGGTGTGCTGCAGGAAAGAGTGATGACTGGCAGCTATGGGACCACAGCCACATCACCAGGCGAGCATTTCACAGACTCTCAGTTCCTGGTGCTAATGAACCGAGTGCTGGCCCTGATCGTGGCAGGTCTCTACTGTGTCCTACGCAAACAACCTCGTCATGGGGCACCCATGTACCGATACTCTTTTGCCAGTCTGTCAAATGTGCTGAGCAGCTGGTGCCAATATGAAGCGCTTAAGTTTGTCAGCTTCCCTACCCAGGTGCTGGCCAAGGCCTCCAAGGTGATTCCTGTCATGATGATGGGAAAGCTGGTATCTAGACGAAGCTATGAACACTGGGAATACCTGACTGCCGGCCTCATCTCCATTGGAGTTAGCATGTTTCTGCTGTCTAGTGGACCAGAGCCCCGAAGCTCTCCAGCCACAACACTCTCGGGCTTGATTCTACTGGCAGGCTACATTGCTTTTGACAGCTTCACCTCAAACTGGCAGGATGCCCTGTTTGCCTATAAGATGTCATCGGTACAGATGATGTTTGGGGTCAACTTATTCTCCTGTCTTTTCACAGTAGGCTCCCTACTGGAGCAGGGGGCCCTACTGGAGGGAGCCCGCTTCATGGGCCGCCACAGTGAGTTTGCACTCCATGCCCTCCTCCTCTCCATCTGCTCTGC